TGGTGGTTGTTTCATCCAAATTGGTTCGGTACATCAAAAGTTATGATCAAAAATGTGTAAAACTCTTAATGTTAACAGCGGCAACCAAAATTCTAAACTAATTGTATTTAAAAAAGATGTATCTTTTTTTGTAGATTTGATGGAAGTTTCTGCAAAAACTATAGATGCTTTATCACATACAGGTATAACAATTTTATGAAGGCATCTGGACAGGAAAAAAATGGCCATTGCAGATAATCATCCACATCGGGTTGCTTCATATCTGGAAATTAAAAAAAACAATGCATTAGTTCTTAATGTCGATGATTACTATAATATTCACACCAAACAAATTTCAGATACCTGTTTAATATTAAGTGCAACACATATGACAACCTTGTTGTTAAATGGTGTTGATTCAAATGCTATTCCACAGATCACACCAAACAGGATATCAGTTCACAATCTAAATTTAATCGATTTTAACCTTATTTGCAATTTTTTAGACACTTACTATATGAGACGAATGTCTAAAACATTTAATGATTGGTTTTACTATGAGATGTTTTTAAACAGAAACTTGAAAATATGACTCTTCACAAATATGATTCTCATATACAAAAGTGGTGAGAAAAGCACAAAATGAAAAACATAATTCTCTTGGATTTTTTTGAACTTAATCTTAAAGAAATAGATTCATATATTAATGTTTTACAAGAAGTTCATAAAATTCCTTTATTAACTAATTACTTAACTAACTATGTTATTCCAATTGTAGCTGATTGGCCCAGATAGGTATATATATGACAAGCAATTACTCTTCGTTTATTAAACTATAAAGATGATATACCAGATGGCATATTATCTTTTGTACCAATTATTGGCATTCTTTATATTTAGTTAAATCTACTTGAGTCAATACTAAAGACTTATTGGGACTTTTTCAATATGGAGTACCAATATATTTTTAGTACAAGTAAAGCCCTTAGCAAGACGCCAAGCCCATATCAAACATATGTACTTCTTGAGCTAGTAAGAAGTGCTTGGAAGAAAATCAAGCCAATAGTAACAGATAAGTTTAGAAAATATTATAAAGATGTTGAATTCTTATTTCTATTTGAATTATTAGACAATACAGTATTGGTCAGATTAGATATATATTCAACTTTATTTTGGTCTGAAGATTGGAAATTATACATTGAAGGCATATTTCGGGCATGGTACATTTTTTTACAATTTGAAAGGCATAATTACAATAAAGCGTCTTTAGCTTTTCTTTCTGATATATTTTATTGGTGTCAAAACAATTATCCTATATTAAGTGTATTAGAAAATCATTTAGTTAAATTTACAGATTATCCTGTTGAGAATATGCATAGCATAATATGATGACAGAGCTCTTTTACTAATAATTCGCAACAGCTTTCCAAGATCGCCAAAGTCGTTAGTGTCAGAAAGTCTATTGCATTTGAAGATGTATTTGTAGATTATAAAAAGTTTACATATGTGGATGAAGATAATTTGACTTTACTAACAAAAAAGGCACAAGTGTTTTTTCTGAAAATCTTTGGTAATGTTTATCAAAGATTAGGTCAAAGTTCTATCGTCGAAGGCCAGAGAGAAAAAATTACTTACAAACTAGCATCATTGGAACTTGTTGTAGACAATAAGCAAATATCATTAGAGTTTAGCAGTGAGCATTTGCCATTATATGCCAAATTCAATTATTGTCATAGATTACTATACGACAGGACAGGTAAAAGTTCTATAGTTATTGTATGTGGTTATGGATACTATAAGAGCTGTTTTACTATATTAAATAGGAATTGTTACTATTGTAAAAGTATTCTCAAATTAGGTATAAAAAATAATGTCACTTCTTTACTTTCATATTTAAGTAAATTAGATAAATCAAAATCGAATCTTGAAGAGATTTTTGAAGCTGATGAAGATAGTTCACAAGATCAGAGAATAGAAAATGAAAATAATATATTAGAAGTATTTCAGAAAGATAAGCAAGTGTTGTCAAGAGTGAAGCAAGCTTATTCTGCAGCTCTTGAAAAATTTTTGAATACTAATATTGTAGATATTTGCACTAATATTTCTTTAATGCAATTTTATTAATTAAAATATTAGTCAATAATTAAAATAAATTACATATTTTTTTTAAAAAAATAAATAAATCAATACAATATATAAAATTATATAATTATTAGATCATTTTTTGCTGTTAATTAATCAATCATTCATTACTGTTACAAAAATAAATTAATTATTATTATTTTTTTTTTTTTGTGATTATCGCATTCCATATAACTATTATTCTTTTAAATATTAAAAGAAATCTATTCGATTATATTTTGAAGTTCTTTAATACAATTATCAACCTTCTTGTTTTTGCTTGTTTATTCTTGAATTATTTTTTAAAAGTCACATGTTTGACACCATGTTTCAGAAGTATTATATCAAGTTAGAATATGCATATTTTTTAACTATAATTTCTTTTAGAACTCAGTTTCTTATATTCACATTTGTTGCAGTAGTTTGAATTAATTATATACCTTAAGATCATTATTCTTTAATTGTACATAATCTGTAAACTTATTAAACAAACCAAAAATTAGAATAAAGCTGCCTTGTTTTAAATATTAGTAACTTGCTAATGTAACCATGCTTATGAATATAGATAACAGTAGTAATATAAGAACATTGTTGTGATTTACTGTATAAAGAAGTAAGTCTAAAAGTGAAAGACTATGTATAAGCAAAAAAATATGTATAACTTATAAAAACCTTGCATTTTTATTAGACGAAATTGGCTCTGAGTTAGCTCTAAGTCACAATTTCCAATTTAGAAAGCTTGTATAATGAAGATTGTCCATCTGCTTTTAATTAGTTAATTTTGTAGATCTACCTATAATTTTCTGTAATAATTAACCAATTAAAATATATAATTTTTTAAAATACATGTATTTTAATTTAATTAATAATATATATATATTTTTAATAAGCATACCAGCAATTGCATGAATTTTGAGAGCCATATAAAAATGGTAATAATTCTTATTTTCTGATGTATTTAAACTATGCATGCAAATACTGAAGTAGCATTTATATTTATGCTCATCCAAAAGACAGCCGTGAACATTATCAAAATGGAAATGAAGTTGAAAAGAATGAATGTAAGGCATACATTTATACCAAAAGTTAGCAGGCTTAGATATTACTATAAAAACGGAATTGGAATCAAAAAGAATGCACAAATAGCATTCGTTTTTATTATCAAAAGTCTGCCAGTTTGGGCATATTTATAGAGTGTTTCATCTTGGTCACTGTTATCAAAATGAAAGGCACTTAGCCATTGTAAAAATATACAGCAGGGACAGTGCCTGATCCAAAATGAATCTCTCTCACCTGTGATCAATTGCAAATTAAATTATTTATATTGGATATAATCTCTTATTAGTTTTAATATATATGTGACATTGATGTTTCTGCTATTATAAAAATAGTATAAAAAAATTCAATATGTAATAAGAACAAATATGATGTAATAATTTCAAATTGTATTTAAATTAAATGTATTTTATTAGATAAAACAAAATTAAAATTACAATAAATTAAAAATTATAAAATTACAATTATATCTGTTGAAATTTTTGCAATGTTTCTTCTAATTCAAATGTTTTATATTTTATTTTCTCAAATTTATTATTATTATTACAAGGAATTCTTTTAACTCATGTCTTTTTTTCTTTTTTTTTTCCTTCAAAG